CTTATTAGGAATCTATAGTAACATATAAAGTGAAATCGGTTTTGGGTGATCAATTTTTCTTCCCCAAAATACCCCTTTTATAAAATAATTACAATCATCTTCCAAAAAGAAACATTTAAACTACTATCTAAAAAAACTACCATCATTAGTTAAAAAAAAAAAAAAAACTTCCTTCTTTCCTTTTTTTGTTATGTAAAAAATATTTTTGGAGTAAAATCACATTCTATTATTTAGCATAAATGACATCATCAATATCGTGTCCACAATTCATAAACCTACTAATATTCTTTTTTTTTAAAAAAAAATTAAACAACTATAATTAAAGAACATTGTTGTGGAAAAACATTCGATCTCGGTAGATTACTTATTATATTGCACAAGCATGCATTGTGTGTGTCTCTTAACTAGTACAATTAATTATTCAACACAAGCCAATTAAATATGGGGTCTAATGTTGTCAAATAACAGGAGACATAGACACTTCACCCAATTGTCGTTGGACACACAACGACACGTCTTGGACCGTACTCTAATACGAAAAGGTATTTGTTTTATTTGGTAATATACTTGCACAATATAAAGATTATTAATCTCCGTACCAAGTAAATAAGAATTTGGTATTTGGCTTTCACTAAGCTTTTGGTAATACTCTACAATTAACGATTGGAATTAATTATTTACACAAAAGAAATTACACACAACAATCTGAGAAAACAAAATTAATACCAAAAAATAAAAAATCAATAAAACAAAATCCATCTTTTAAAAATGTTGGATGGCAATCTAGTTAGGATCCGCTCCAACTCCACCCTAAGCCGGTGGAAAATCATGTTCGATTCATAGACAAATGTAAGTCAACTTATACTCCATTAAAATATTCCGACTCTCAGTTGGAGCAAGTCTAGGTCGGAACCTACCAAAAATTTCAAAACAGGAGTTACTTATATTACAAATGACTATGACGGATTATTCGAGTACGATCCAATAGATAGTGGAATTTAAAATACGTGCACAATATTAATTTTATTATTATACATACTACTTGAATAAGAAATTAAATGATATAACTCTATGGTAATTAAAGCTTTTAGGTAATAGTCTACACTTAATGTTTTGATACTATTACATAAATTAATGCTCATTGGTAATTAATGATCTTTGGTTATACCCTACATTTAATGTTTTTAGACAATAGAAAAGAGGAAATAAGTTCCAACACATAACAATTATTAATGGTATGGCAAAGATCATCCACTTAAATAAAGTAAAATCATATTAGTGAATTTCACCCACCAATTGTGTTTTTTTTTTTTTTTATGAAAAAATTAAAAATAAATTTTGGTAATTTTTTTTGTTTGGTTTTTTTTTTTTTTGAAAAAGGGATGAGAGGAATCGAACCCTTGACCTTTGTGCTTGTTAGATTGTTGAAAGTTGTAGAGTAAACGACCATTGTGGCAGTACTAGCACCATATTCTAATACAAAGGTAAAACTTAAATAAATTACAAAATATAATTGATTATAGGAAAAGGGCCCACACTTTATGAGTTTATGTCAAATGAAATTCAAAGTTGAGTATTTACCCTTAGCAATTTTCTTTTGGCGCCGCTAATTTAAGATACCAACTTATTGGTTTACATTGCAAAAAATACTCTATCTGATAAAAAAAAAAACTCGCTTGAGTCTCTTCATTTGAGATAATCTTAAACCTCGTACGAGTATATTTTTATATTGTGAAATTCCCATTGGTTCGTTCACCCGTAGTTTTGACTTTTCCCATTCACAAACTACTAAATTTGTTCCTTCCCATCGATAGCCTCATGATTTGGTCTTTTCCCCAAAACGTGACTAATACCGTTAAAAAGTGTTTAACTATAATAACATTAAACATCTAATATCTCGATTTGTTAGTAAAAAATTGTTCGGTTACGGTTTTGGGAGTCAAGTTAAGCGTATAATTATCCAATTTACCCTCGGAGTTAGCAAAGCAAAAATTATAGCAAATGTATCTTGATATGCGTTCCCGTTTTAAGTTTTGTGATTGTAAATTATTCGGTTACGGTTGTAGGGGTCAGTTTGATCTATTACGATTATATATCGAAGTCGAAATTGTCAATAAATTAACGAACATATCTCGTTTTGCATGTTATCCAAATTAACCTCAAAGTAGCCAATAAAGAAACATAACGCAATATGTCTTATTTATGCGCGTCAAATATTGTGGTAGTTATTAAAGGCTTAAGGTTTAGGGGTCACTTTGACCTTTAATGGATCTATATCGGACTAGAAAATGCCTATTACTTAACGAGAATGTCTCGTGTTGCGACTCACAAATCTAGAGATTTTATGACACGCATAGGACACATTTGCATTATTTTCTTTTTGGTACTTTGAGTAATTTCCTTCCTTTAAGGTCTAACAATTTTTTATAAATTAAATTAGAATGCTTAAAAATAATTAAAATAAAATAGAAGTTATTTGGTTTTCCTGGAAAAAAATGAAACAAACTTTGTTTAACGTGCAATGCTGAAGAGACATGAAGTTGAAAGGTTGCAATTTTGTTCGAGTATTTAAAGACTTTAAAGTACCACATTCTATTTGTTATTATAAAAAATCTTCCAATTCTCCCTGTAACCGTCTTCTTTCTTTTAGTTTGCCAAAAACAGAGTTTTCTGCTAAATTTATTGGTCTGAAATTTGAACATGGCCGGAAATAATGGAGGACGGTCAATTTCTCAGGCATACCGTCGATATCTAGAAGATAAAAAGGAGAGGACAGAAAAAGAAATAGATGAACTTCTAAACCTTAGGCTTCAGATAGTTCAGAGGCTGGATGTTCTGGTGGAGGACCGTGTGTACCTAAACAAGCAATTAGGTGTTTCAGACGAGGCCGATGAAGACAAACAAGAGGGAAAACGGCCCATGGACAACAAACAAGAGGGTAAGCGTCCCAGAAGTTCTGATTGGGAAAAATGAGAAGGTGTTATTGAGATTGAAACTGAAAGTGATGACAGTGATGATGATGCTCCGGAGAGGAAAAAGCGGTTTTTTGTTGGTGAATCATCCCATGTGATGGTTGGGGGTGGTAACTGAAGCGACCCTTTTGCTGGCGGTGTTGAAGGTGGGGAAAAGGAGGAGCCTGCGGCCAATGAAGTGGAGGAGCCACCTGCTGAAAGTGGCGAAGAAGAAGAAGAAGAAGAAGAAGGAGGAGGAGGAGGAGGAGGAGGAGGAGGAGATGGAGAAGAAGAAGGACATGAAGAAGAGGAAGAGGAAGAGGAAGAAGAAGAAGAAGAAGAAGAAGAAGAAGAAGAAGAAGAAGAAGAAGAAGAAGGAGGAGGAGATGGACAGGAAGAAGAAGAAGAAGAAGAAGAAGAAGAAAAAGAAGGAGGAGGAGATGGACAAAAGAAAAGGAAGAAGAAGAAGAAGAAGAGGAGGAGGAGCAGATGGAACCAGAACAACAAGAAGACAATGATGAGGCGGGTGAGGCTGATGGTTTTGGTTTTGAAGAGGAAGATGGAGATGATGAGGAAGAAGATAATGGGCACTCGTCTTCTGGTTCCGACTGTGGAGATGAGTTTGGGCCCGATGATGGTGTGTATGGTGATTCTGAATCTTCAATTTATTCAAATTCTTACCGGCGATCCCCCAGCAACTTTGATCGTATTTGTTATATTAGATCGTATTTGTTAGAATAGTGTTTTAATTATGCTCCATTTTATATTTGTATTTTTAGGTGGATGCGTTTTAAACAGTTTGTTCAATTAGTTTATATATAAATGTAATTTGGTTTATATCTACAATAGTGCAATCTAAATGAAGTTTATATATAAATGTAATTTGGTTTATATCTACAATAGTGCAATCTAAATGAAGTTTTGTATATGGTTGATAAGTAACAAAGCCGATCCGAAACCGTTTAAAATTATTCCGAATCTGAGTCCGGTAAAGTAGATCCGAATTCAAATATGGCGGGGATTGGACTTGGACCGAACGCAAAGTCTCACAGAGTCCAATCCAAGTCCGAATCGGAGAGTATGAGCATATGCTTTATAACTTGGAACCATTGTTTGGGTGTTTTATTGGGAAATTTTCTTTTTTAACTTACGTCATTATTATAGGTATATCTAAGTCTAAATCCGACATTGTTAACAAATGCTTTATAACGGACCGGATTCGGCTCCGAAAATTGTGAGTCGGATTAGACTCGCAATTGGATTTTCCACATTTTTAATACGGGAAAAATTATAGGAAAATATTTTAAAAATTAAAAAATAATTAACAATACTATTACATAAACCAAAAATTAAAACAATAAAAAATATTCCGAAAATAAGCGAGCATAAAATAACAAAAATTTGGATATGCTAACTTGGGGTGAAGGGTTAGAGACTCGAACACATGAACTTCATTCTTGGTATATATACATTCTTTGGGGATCATCTAACACGGTGCTAGCACTGTCCCAATGGTTATAGAATATACTAACAAGCATGAAGGTCAAGGGATCGATTCCTCCCAACCCCCTCTTGATTGTTTCCTGCATATATATATACATATTTTGGGGATAAAGCGACACGAAGGTAAGGGATTCGATTCCTCCCAACACCCTCTACTTTTTTTTTATAAAACAATGATTCCTGCACACATATATATATAAATGTTTTGGGTAAAATGTGGCACGGTGCTAGAACTGTCCCAATGGTCACTTACTCCACTACTAGAACACCATTTTACCACGGTTCGACCACTAGCAACACACAAGCAAACATCAGGTCTACTGGTCAAGGGTTCGACTATTCCCCATCCTCCTTTCCACCCAAATATTATTATTATTATTATTATTAGTATTATTATTATTATTATTATTATTATTATTGTTGTTGTTGTTATTATTATTATTATTTGGTTTAATTAAAGGACCACAAACATAGTGAATTTATTACTGTAATCAATTAAACATTGGGCAACATATACACAATAGCAGCACGCCAACACATTATATATGGACACAAATTTTAGCTTCCCATCACATTATATATGGACACAAACCTACACCTACAATCCTTCGATACAACACAACATGTTTGTAGTACTACGGAACTTGCTAACAACATACCATTCATTACAGAGATTCTATTACAAACAGATTAAAAGTTAAAATTGGTAATTACATATTACAACACAAAAGGATATTGATTTTTTAGTTAGATGGAGAATAGGAGCCCACAAACTCTGTGTCAGGCCAATTCAGATGGGGAAGAGCAGCCGAAAAATTTCTTAAGCAATTCATCATCCGTAAGGATAGCTGCCTCAAAATTAGCGTGTTTTCTAGGAATTTTGTGTCTTGTTCGCTTGACCTGCTTAATCACATTAGAGTTGGTTTAGGGTGACTGAAGAAGATAATTTCATGAATATAAAGAATACAAGGTTTATCAATTCCATTTGGTTTAATGTATCAACTTACCGGAATCATTGGGGTCTGTTTGAAAGGAATTTCCTTAGAAACACTTAGTCTTTGCTTGACCTGTTGAGGCAATCAGCACAACAGTTAACATCTACCAATAAATAAAGGGAACATTTAGAAACTGAACAAATTACTACGTATAAGATTTAGACAAACCGGTTTTTTTTGGGAGCAGCAACAAGTGCAGAATTCTGAATTTGAGGTTGAGTTTTGTATATTGTCTCTAAGGACTTGTAATTAGTCCCATTTTCAGGACCTCGAGGCTTACTTGTTATGTTAGGATACTGAATAACATCCTGAATAGGGTTAGTGTTGTCATTATTAACATTGTTGACATTTGCGTTAGGGTCTGAGACAGGCGGAGGAGTTACATCCTGAATAGGGTCTGATGTTGGTGTGCGGATTAGTTGGTGGATCCTTCTTTCCATGGGCTTGTTTTTTGTACCATGTCTCCGCCAACGACTTATACCTAGACCCCTTAGGACGACCTCGAGGTTTTTTCCTAGTCTTAGGATCCTTAAGAGGTCCATCCTTGTCATTTACGGTACATTTTGTGACAGAAGGAGGGGTTACAACAGCAGCAGCAGCAGTGTTAGACCCAATCATAGATGGAGTGATGTTGCTGTTCGGCATAGATGGTGGATCTTGCTTTTCCTGGAACGCAAGCCTAGCCTTTCTAACATCAGTGGACAGCTCGGTTAGTGTGTTTAAAACCATATCAACCGTGGGATCATCAATTGTAGAAGCCTCTTCGCAAATAGCTTCAAACTTGGTCATCATTCGGTTAAAACGTTTACATTCCACCGTCTCGGAAGGGTCATAGTACGACACCTTCACCCGTGTGTGCCTTCTAACAATGTCTTTTATCCACCTGTCTAAAATGTACTTTTCTGGAATCTCAAACACATGGTTTTGGTCTAACACACGTATGCAATGCTTGCACAGTATTCAAAAAGTTTCAAACTTCCTACAATCACAAGATACATCATTCGTTTCCGAATTGTAGGTTACTCTGTATAACCTACGGTGGTCGGTTATTTTTTCCTGCTTAGATCCTTCAGGAATAATCCAAACCCTATCCTCCAACAAATACTGGACAACATTTTTTCCTATGAGTCGCTCTTCCCTAGGCTAAACATACATCATACGTGCGCACTCAGTTTGAATTTCCTGAAAAAGCTTCTCCACCTTAAACCCACTTACAAGACGGCGTACATACTTAAAACACCTAGCATCCGCATCGGTTTCGTCCTTTACCCTCTTTGTCATGGCCCTAGTGTAATTTATAGGGAACTCATGTAACATTGTTTTCCTATTGACGAAACCGTCAAACAAGCTATTAATACTTTCAACATGTTGAGTCGTCTTCATTCCCGCCCAGAAATACTCTTTCATGAAGGCGGGAACCCACATATGCCTCTCATTGTAAAGGTCACATAACCAATCATTTTCCAACAAGTTATGTTCAGTAGTGAGTGAGTTCCATCTACTCTCAAATTCCTCTGTTGTAAAACTTTTATAAATAAGAGTCTTCAGGGGGCTTTTAAAGTCCTTGTAACTGAATCCATTTGGTCAAATAGAATAATCATTAAATGTAATATCATTAGGAAGACAATATTCACAAACCAGTGGATCACATATGCCAGAGAAGGTTGGCAAAAAAGGGCTTAAGATTAATAGCACACAGCAGAAATACAGAATACAACAAATGTTATGAGCCAGCCATGTTAACAAAAAAAAAGGACAAAACAATATACAAATATAGCATTTAACAACAGCTATTCTTTGTTTAAAGAAACAGCATCCATGGGAGCATACACATACACTTTTATATGATTATGTTCACCTAAATGTGTATGATATAAACTTAATGGAATCGTGCATAGACTTGCAAGTTGAAGGACAGGAAAAAGGGATCAAAGACAAATGAGGAGATCTAAGAATGCAGTAAAAGAAAGCATAAAACTTAAACATGGTGAGAAATTTCAAAAAGGCTGAAAAGAAGTGTCGGGTCATTACTTACCCATCACACTTCCCAAGCTTCTCCAGAATTTTACGCATTACATGTGTTTACACCATCTGTGATGAGCTGTAGGCATCTCTAAGGATAGTGCCTTGCGAATAGCAGCTGCTTGATCAGTTAGGATTGCATTTGGTGGGTTGTTTCGCATGCAAGCCAACCATTGACGAATGAACCAAGAGTACGTGTCCGTGTCTTCATGTGAAACTTGAGCACACCCCAACAAAGTTGATTGGCCGTGGTGATTCACACCAACTACATTCACAAAGGGAAGGTCAAACTCGTTTGTGAGATAAGTAGCATCCATGCACACCAAATCGCCAAAGTACCCGAAAACCGCCCTAATTTGAGCATCCACCCACATAACATCTTTCATACGACCATCTTCATCACGGGGATGAGTGTGATAGAAATTAGAATTGTCAGCTTGCATCTTCTCAAAATACTCCATCATAGCAGCACAATCACCACCTGCCATGTTCAACCTAGCCCTCCTTTCTTTGTAGACTTCTTGTTGTAAATCCTTAACTTTAGGCATGATCCCCTCACATTTGTCCAATCCCAAGCAACCATGAATTTGAGTAACTGGAACACCTTCATCGTAGTAGTTTATCAACGCCTTTTTGACATTGGGTGTCAACTTGTTCGTACGATATTCCTTCACCAACTTGGACTTAGAAGGGGAAACTTGGTGCACATGGTCCAAGAAAACCTTTCTCAACACCCATAGGCCCTCTTGATTCACACTTGCATATATTTTGGCTTCGCATAAACATTTCTTTGATGTCCTTTTACACTGAGCAAGTTCATCCTCCCCAATGACTCCATCAACTGTGCCACCTATCCCGCAATTATCCATACACTTTGCCCTCTTGTTCGCTTCCCTTCTAGTCCTAGAATATGGATGACCTTAACATTCACACCTCCAGGTTATCCCCCGCCTCTCCTTATTCTTCTTCGACATATATCCTTGAGCCCTAGTAACATCAAATCCTGTTTGCTCGGCATATTGTTTGTAATAGGACTCTGTCTCTTGCCATGATTTAAACACCATACCAACTTTGGGACTTTCAATTGTAGAGTACACAGAAACCTTATTTGTTGACACAATTGTTTCCAAAGTCTCTATGGTCTTCATTGGAGTCAACAATGAATTAGGAACAAAATCTACATATGCCCCTGCCTCAGCAGCCACCACAGGAACAAGACTGTCTGATAATGGAACAACAGTGTCTAAATATGGATTACTCATGCTTTCATGACCTGCCTTCTCATTCTCAGTCGATCCATAAGTGTTCTCTTACATTACATAAAGATTTTTTTGAACAAACCTACAAAGCACTGGAATGTGAAGAAAGGGTAAGACACTACAGTTTACCTACTGATTACAGTTAAAGAAACAAAACTGAATATTGAAACTAATGTTCTAAATCATTTAACCAAATCAGACCAACCATTTAATAATACTACTTGAAATAATTTTTTCACATATAAAAGCAAATCTATATACCAAAATTTGTTAAATAGCCAAAGGTATCAAGGCAATTTAATTGACCGGAAGTTAGGATTTACAATACCTGGGATTACTTAATCAACATACTTCTTACGAAAGTTTTACTAATCAACTAAGATAAGCTTCAACTCAACTGTAATCGACTAATTAAAGCAATTTAGTCAGCAATTATAAACATTCCATAGAATACAACCTTCATCCAAACTCATTATAATTACTAATTGACACAATAGGAGTCAAAAGATAGTATCCCTAGGCATTATAATTGAATACAACTTAAGCAGTCACCAAATCCTCTCAATAACAATTCCAGAACCAGATCTACTATACAAATTACCCAATTTATACTACAAATACGGAATTTAAATTACCTGGAATTAAGAAATATCAAGTGAACTTGTGTTGGTAGATCAAATTTCTTCTATTTCATCTTTCGAGCTTTGTGTCATTTTGGTGAAGATGGCTTCCTGAGTTGAAGTGGCGATCGAAGACAGTAAGGATTTTTTTTTATATTTTTTGAAGTTTATTTTTGCACCATTACAGCGATGTATGACACCGTCAACTGTATGGTTACTAACGACCATTTACCTACCGTTACAAGAATCCGTACACCACAATTTAATATTCGCATGAAGGACGGTGTATGGCCTACATCAGCTACTGATTTACATAATTTTGTAAATCAGGCTGATTGCCTGAGTGCGCCTCGTGAGCAAAATATACCTTTTATTCTTCTTATTGATTGTTTGGGTTTATGCGTGAATCAAGCAAGCTGCACTGGATCTTTCCTTTCCACCTCATCATGAATTCATGCTCATGCATAATTAAAACTCCAAGTATCATTTATTCATTCTCACAACTCTATATTGTTTCGTCCATCAATACACCATGTTTTGGCTTTTCAAAAGGTAATCACACGACCTTAATTAATGTTGGATTTGTTTGATTATAAATTATTAGCATTAATTGCACTTAGTATTATTATGTGTAAATTTTATAATTTGTGAATTATATATGATCATGATTTATATATATGCATGATTAGTATGCGGTTCAATATGATTCTAATTCTCGTATTATTTTTGTTGTATATGATTTTTGTGTTATTTTTCTAGGTTTTAATGTTGTTGCTATAAGGAGTATTGTTTTATTGAGGTTTTAAAGTTATTAATGCAGAGTATTATTTTTGGGTTGTGAGTTAATTAATTTTGAGTATTGTAACGAGAGGGTTCCCATCGCAAGGGGTCCTCTCCTTAAATGTCCATGGCCCTTTAAACGCCTAGGACTTTACACTTGTTAGGGTGTAGTAGGATTTGAATTCCTGACTGTTTGGGGGACCTTGAATTAGAATTGATTCTATCATTACGTTTTTTGTAAGAAACAAGTAGGGAGTCGCCAATGAGTTTTAGGAAAACTCATAAACCTCGTTCATGCCTTTCTTCCATGTGGAGTTCATGGAATAATTAGCACGAATCATAAGTTTACCCATGCCCAAATTGGTCTATAAACCATAAATGAGTTCGGGAGAGAGGGTACTAAAATAACGTTCCCTTTAGAGGGGAATCGTTATCCTAGCCCTAGTGCGGCCTCTACTAGCTCTTCCTTTATTACGATTTCATCACCAAACAATATATGGAACGATACCTAAAACTATGTTAGTTTATTTTAATTACACATACCAATTCACGTAGGAATTACATCGTAATGTCGTTATTATTTATTTAATCAAATTCGTGAAAAGGACAAGAAAATAAACAATATTCGCCTTGGTTTAAGTAATCAACCAACAATTATTTTATTCAATTCTAATATTTATTTAACGCAAGATACTATGTGGGATTGATTAATTAATTATTTTAAAGGTGATCAAACAACACTAATTAATTAATTAGGGTTCTTTTAAACAGGAAAATAAATGTGATTTAACTATGTGATCGTGAATTTACCACTTCTCTTTTTTAGATCTTCATTTAGAATACTTATGTACTCCTTCTTGTTGGGGAACCTCCACCGTAGTAATAAAATATCAAAAGGGGTCAGTGTTTAGGACAAGAGGGGCTAGGTTGCACAAGTTCACAAGTATTTCGCCAGAGTTTTAGGTTATTTTTTTTGTCTGTCTAAGCCTCGGTTTAAGCACTTATTTATAGGGAATGATTAGGTTTAGGGTTACGAGCATTCTGCCGCAGCAGGTGTCGCGCGCAACAGGATGAGTTGCGCGCGGCATCCTAGCGCAAGTGATTAGGTTGCGCTGCTATGGGCAGCGCAACTAATTGTCTTGTGCGCGACTTTATGGTAAGATTCGATTTTATATTTTTCGAATAATTCTGAATCTTCCGCATCACAACTTTGTAGGTTACCCTGGGTGTCGCACGCAACCGAATTAGTTGCGCGCGGCTTTTTCTGCGGCACCATTAAAATTTAACCTAGGCGCTCCTAAATCCGTCATTATTGGGTTTTAAGCACGGGCTTAAGCCTAATTATGATCGGGTTTAGTTAATTGGACCTTTTTTTGGCTTTTATCTTCAATTCAAGCTAGTCTTTTATGTTTTGTGGCTTAACCAGTTCTCCATAAGTATTCTTCACTTTGATCCAACACGAAGATGGTTTTATTTATCGTCATTGCACTTCTTGTCGGGACAGGAGGCCAAAAGTAGATGTCTACAATTAGCCCCCACTTTGATCGAATCTAGAATAGATGATGATCAAAGTAGTCAAGGAAATAAATCCGATACTCATTCTGCAAAGTTCTCTAAGGATAGAGAATCTTTCAGTAATGTTTACGGATGTCGAAACAATCCTTGGTTCGTTAAGTGTTTTAAACAAGTAGCTATTAAAGCTAGAAAAAAGTTTTTCCTAGTCTTAACGCGCTAAAGAATCTAGATTGATCCTTTGTAATTGTAGAACGCTTTTACAAGTAAAAGGTGTTCTGGGTGATGTCAAGTCATGAGAAGAGATCGGTTTTAAAAGGATAAAAGGGGAATATTTCCTCTCAATCGTGTCATCGTTGGTCTAAAGTCCCTCGATATGTCATTGAAACTTTAGCCTGACTTTAACAAAGTAAAAAAGATGAAAGGGGTTTTCAGTATTCGAGCCGGGTTTGGTATTCAAGCCAGATGTCCACAAGATAGACATACATGTCTCAGGACTAAAGGCATATATCCAAATCCATTGAGAGGGAAGAAAGTCAACAACTCTCTCAGCAGTTTTTCCCATAAGATGAGTACACGTGTCTCAAGACTAGGGGCACGTGACTACATAGGCGCGACATTGTGTCGTCTCTTCTTTATACAGGGGATGGTCGGACACCCTAACTTTCCGGTAAGTTAGTAAGCGTACTAACTACCGTATTTGCTCCCATTCAAGAAGTGCTTGTTCCTGATGGTTCGACGCGCCTGTCGACTCGTGAGCTAACGCCTACAGTAATTCTCTACCTTTTAGTTCCGAGAGGTAGATCTCGCAAAGCTTGGGCTGAAGTTAAATTTTACGCAACACCTACGCCGTACAATTTTGTGCCGTACGATACGCCATTTGCATTTTTACGCTGCATGAAAACGCCTTCCCTTTTTCTTCGGACGTGAAAAAGAAGAAAATCCGTACATTTATAACGTCAGTACTGTAAAATGACAAACCTGTCTATGAGTGCTTTTATGTAAAGCACCACCACGGAACGTCTTAAGGCACTCTTACGAAAAACGTTTAAAACGTATGCTTGGGGAAGGCACAAAGCACGGTGTGCATGCAAGAATGATGCAAAAAAACTAGTAAAGAAGAAAACAAACTACAATATGCAAAGCAATTTAAAAAGATTTTGATCATTTGCATGCCATTACGTCTAATAACGAGCAAAAACCGTTAAAAAATGATCAAACAGATCAAAATAAAGATTCCGGTTATTTTAGTGACTAGTATCCGCGCACAACGCAATAGGCCGCGCTGGCCAGGCGCGCGTATCTTTCTGAGTTGTGCTGGTCTATCACGCGCAACTAATTCAGTTGCGCGCGACACTCAGTTCAACAAAAAGAAAATCGCAAAACGCGATTTTTCATTTCGCTTTCTCTCTCCTTCCTTCATCTATTTTCGCCTCTTTCTCTCTCTAAAGAGCTCGGTTTCTTGCGATTTTCGAAGTTAAAGGAAGAAAATTTTGTCCTTAATTCATATTTGCTGTAATCCAATGTAAGTTTTTTTCCCTAAAACTTGTTCTTTTCTGGCTGAATTTGAACGATTTTCGAATCGTTAAACCCCAAATTTTGAAATAGGGGGTTTTTTATTCGGTCCATTATTCTTGAAATTGTTTGCTCTATGTTGTCATGCTATGTTTAAGGACTTTTTTTGCAACAAATTTCATGAAAAATGGTTAAGTATTGAACCTTGTATGAGCTTTTCTTCGTTTGAGTGTGTTTTTTTGCAATCCTACTCAAATTTGGTTTAATTTTCTGTTATTTTGTTTGCTCATTTTGGTTATACTTATTAATTATGCAACAATTGTAGTATTGGAACTAGTTTTACTTCCATAATTAATATTTTGAAATTTTTGAATGCGAAAAAATTGGCGCGAAGTGTATACTTAGCCTATTTTGCCATATTCAAACTTCAAGATTGTTTGGTAGACGATAATTATGTTTATATTTCTGTTATTTGTCCAGAAGTAGTTAATTCTTTGGGATTTTGAAATAAAATCCCTTGAATACTTATTTGAAACTGGTATAGGATGACTTAATTTATTAGAAGCCCCCATTTACTAAGTTTAACTGCATGTATCGTAGCCCCCAATTATGGGTGGCATTCGATTTTCGTATTTTCCCTATAAGCAGCTATTATGCTGCCGAAATGGGTCTAGAATAAGTATATTAGTTTAGTTTCGGAAATAAATTAAACTAATTAAAGAAACTTTATCCATCATAGCATGGACTTGCCTCCATATGTCGATGATGAGAAGATTTTAGGTGGTCCTGACGAGGCGGTTCTCCCTCGAAAGAGGGTGACCTGTCCTCAAGAGGAGGTTCGAGAGCGATGCGTCGCGACCGATCGACGTCGCCAGGAGGATGTGGTTTGGGAGGCTCCTCCCAACTAGGACCCTAGGGTCCTTAAGTGGGACGCATACCATCATGTCTTGATTAGAGGGTGGCGCAGCATCGTGAGTTCTTTCCGCCTTTGTCTCTTTCTTTTTTCCTTTGTTCTTTCTCCTTTTTTAATCATAACCGTTTTTTATTTTTATTCTTTAATTTTCCTTAGATAGAGCCTAGCATGCATTTATAAGGCTATGGAGACTTGCGAGCCCATTTTGAGAGTTTTCCTGAGGTGGAAAAGGATATTGTAGCACTTTCCGGGATTGACTCCCAGCTGGCGGCTCTTCGGGATTTCTCGAGTCAGCCTGCATCGTCAGCTTTCCTCCGTGGATTGCTGGAGTTTTGGTGGGATTCCACCAACACTTTCCACTTTCCATGGGGAGAGATGACAGTTACCCCTTTTGATTTCTCTATGATTACGGGTTTTCCTTTTGGAGGCGAGCCCATGGCCATAGAGTTCGTTAAGGGGTCAAACGAGAGACTGTGCGACCTTGTGGGGGATCGTCTTGCGTCGACCCTTCACGTGTACGCGCAGTCTTGTCCGTACTCAGTTCTTGTCGATGAGTTGTCGGCTGACGAGCTTAATCGGCAGTGTACACCTGAGCAGCTGGCTCGGATATACATTGCTAACGTTCTTTCCGTCACTATCTTCAGT